ACAACAGACAACTAAAGAATATCATTAATTTCTGTTTTCCTCCAAACGGCTTTCTCCCTTGGGACACTACTCTAAATACATTATAGAGAGTGTACAATTGTAGGTCATCTAAAGAGAAAAGACCCTCCCTGGGTCATATATTTTTAGAGAAAAAAGTTCTTTAAGTTACTTTGTGTGCTGGCACAAAAAGTTGTCCAGCACTACATCACAGTGACAATACCGATTCAGCCAATTTGAAGTTCACATACTGTACATGTTATAGTGAATTAGTGATTACATCATTACAACTTTTTAAAAATCATAACTTTCCTTCTTAGTCTTTGTCAATTTCATTCAAACTTTCGCTGGTTTGCTTCTCTGATTTTTCTGCTTTCTTTTAGCAATGTTTGCTGATAAGGTTGGATTTCCTGATACAAATAATCTTCAGTTCTACTAGTAACGGTAAGTACACGTAAGTTGGAATGAAACAAATTACATAGTCCCCAAAGTTCAATTCTGTCCATTGCTTCCAATGAAGTTTGATAGAATAACAAATCAAAACTACCAGCCACGAACAACAAACTCATTTTGTAGAAAATCCTGCAGACATACTGTACATGTACATGCACATGTTGCTACATGTATCTATTTGTTTTCTTTTACATTTGTTCATTGCACGAGTACTGGGTCAACAATGATAATTATTCCTTTTGCCCTAAGTGGTAAATAAAATTAAAAAAACATAATCTATTTCCCCATTTCTTTCAAATGACATTTATGAAATCATGGTATGATTCATTTCATATTGGATTATGTATTTAATAGTTGTGGAATATGCATACATTTACATTTAATTCTTTTGTATGACGTACAGAGAAACAGAGCACATGTGTACCTCAGCCATACATTATGTGTAGGAGTCACACAATACAGACTGTATGTGAATTTTTAATCAGCCCACATTGTTTTAGAGACAATGAAATTCATACTACATGTAATTCCACAATGTGAATTGTGAAAGCATGTACTGAAGTTCATGTGTACAGCAAAAACAGTGGCTCTTAATGTTGATCAAAATAGATCATTGTATACATGTTAGTCAGTGTAACAGTGTAACAATAACATTCATACTAATTCCACAATGTACATTTTAAAAGCATGTAATGAAGTTCATGTGTACAGCAAAGACATTACTGTAGTTCTTCTTCATATTGACCAAAATAGATCATTGTATACATGTACATGTGAGTCAGTGTAACAGTGCACAATATATGCTCCAAGCTACATGGAACAGCTCTTGTTTGGGAGGATTACTCATACCCTAAGCAGCTCTGAACTAAAGTCAGGACTCAACACAACCCTGTAAGGCAGCTACATAGAGTCTACATATGGTCACACAATGAACCAGTCCTAGACCAGTCAACGAGATTTGTAAGGCAATGCCATGCTCCGTTAGTCACGCACGAGAACCAGTACACTGACTCACTTCTCATTGGCCCGTGTTGATGAATTGGTGCACAGAACTTGATGGAAGTTCAGTGCAGTGCTCTTTCTTAGATTGACTGTGCGTCAAAAGAGGGAGCCCTTTCCCTTACTGAACTCAGAGCTTTACCATTTCAAAGTAAAATGTTTTGGAGTTCTGCCAAACTTTTTCTCCATAGCCACCATTGCAATACTAGTATGTGTACATGCATGAGTATAATATGTTTGATTTTTTTGTTCCCTCTTTCTTCTCTCCCTCGCTTTCTGGAAAACATTGAATTGTGGTGATTTTCCTTACAGATTTAAAGGCTTTCTATTCACCCTCTATCTCATTTATGAATGTAAATACTAGCCTAGAAAATACCAAAAGGTGCCACCTTGACAGCCTTAAACATTTGAGTCATTGGAAACAAAAACAAAAGGATTATACTGCTTCTTCTAGTTTCATCTCACAATACAATTCACCTATTTATTCCCCATTTTGAAATTGTTATCCCATTATATAATCGACAGTAAAGTACTGATATGATGCATAGTAAAACCCAATGCTTATTGTTTTATTTTTTGTAATTTTTTTACGATTTTTTTTCTTTCTAATGCTAACATCGACCTCTTAGCGTAAATATTCACAACTGAATGATACACGGCTAAAATCTAAAACAACAGTAACAACTCTGTTATTGACATCAGAGTTACGGTACTTTAAGATAGTCATAGGAACCAAAATGTTCAACTTATTAGCTCCAATTTACAGTGTTCTTCCAAAGAATTAAGTTTGCTTCTGATTGTTTTCTTGTCTGCACAGAATGGGGCATTCAATTTCTGAAATATCAGTTTTCATGACATCCAACTATCCAAGACATCTGTGAGAAACCTAGACCTGTACACAGGCATTCATCATGATGTATGGCCGAAATAATAATAATAATAATAGTGGGTTCTTGTATAGCGCTCATGTCTGTCAGACGGCGCTCTAGCCTTTCAAGGAATTAATTCCTGCCAGGTACCCATTTAAATGTACATCATCTGGGTTGAGTGTGGCAAATGTAGATCAATGTCTTGCCAAAGGACATTAGTGCCCCTTTCAAAATTATAATGATCTGTATAAACTGTGAGTTGATCTAGTGGTCAAATGGTAACCTCTGGTTCATCTTATGTAAGCAATGACCAAGGGGATGACAAGGACGAGTTACATCATTTAGAGGAAATCAAGTAAGTGTGTAGCGGTGGTTATTTTACCTGACTGCTAAGAAAGCATAAATGCTTGTTAGTAAGCAACCAGACGGCTTCAGGTCGTCTTCGAGAGACCTGGTAATGAGGATTAATGCCTTACCAAAGGGCACTAGCGCATCGCCTTGGTTTTGAACCCGGGTCACTGGATTATGAAACCACTGCTCTACCAACTGAGCCTCCTTATGGCTCTACACTAACAAGTGCATGGAAGAGATAGGAGCCCAAACCCCAAGTCCGGCCACCATTTATGTCTCAATTTTAACACAGGGTATATGCAATTATGCATACAGAGTTACAGACTGTAACAAGTTCATTCTGGGTTCCTTTCCAAAATGTAAGTGAGGCCTCTGTATTCTGATTGAAAAAAATCAACGAAGAGAGAAAAAGAACGGAAACAAGAAGAGAATTTAGGTGCAACCTTTTTTGTTTTGAAGGTGACCAGCCAAAATGAACTACATGTACATGGTAAATGTTATTACATGTGTACTGTTGTGTGGCTTGTTATCTTTCAACTTTTAAAAGATCTACTTTTTTCACACAGTAGGATATTAATATTTGGACATTTGTATGAGGGTCTGGTGGTTTGTTAGCCAGATACATTTTTTTCTTCTTCAACCCACTCTAAAGGTATTTGTAAGCCTTCTTAGGCTAAACACATGGATTGCAACTGCCTGTTCCACTGTCATCTAGAATGACAGGCCTACACTGTACATGTAAATTCTAATACTCGAGTCAGTTGGGTGATCTACTTTTTCTACACTGTACTACAATGTAACTTCTACATAATAATGTAATGCTCTGTACCATAAGAGAAATAAATTATTTGAGCTTTTTCAATCAATAAGCAAAAATTCCAATTCAAGATTCCATTTACAGGAACTAACAGTCACACATCATCTACAGGTAAGGAGTTAAATTAACCAAACATAGATAGATTCCGGCACTTTTCATCCATTACAATAAAAGTACAATTAAAACCTGTCTATAATGACCATCTAAATGAACAAATGCATATCTGAACAGCTTCATACCAAATACAAGGAGACTGGAACAATCTCCCGCCAGGCGTCAAAAACCTGAACTCTACACAAACCTTTAAACTATACCTCCAAAAGAGCAATGCATCAATTTAAAATGCACATTGCACGGGAAGCAACACCATCTCTACTCTCTAGACATTAGTGCTTCTAAGCGATGTCTGGATACCATTTTGAGATTCTGAGATTAATGAGGGGGAACAGTAGCTACTTTAAATAGATGACCTAAATAGACAGATTCTGTAAAATAGTCTATATTTTTTTTGCAACCTTCAGTCCTTCACACAACCCGTAAAAATCTACCTAACGACCTATAGATAGCCATTTATGTAACTTTGGCAGACTCACAGTGCCGACGATCTCCGACCTGAGCGGAGGAAGGAATAGGATACAAGAGAGATGGACATACATGTACAAACTACAACAGGCCTAGTGGCCATTTATAGAGAGGTTGCAATGATGACAGTCTTTGACTTTTCTGACATGTACAAATTACAATTTGTCTGTTTTAAGCCAGAAGGGCATCAACTCATAAACTTTAACAAAGAGTTATTGTCCTACTTGAGGACTGGCTCTGCCTCTGAGAATGGATGACAACTGCAACTGAACAGACAAAATAATCAAGGATTATGTCATGATCATCATTCTCCATCTGTTCATTCAATGAGTTCAAACTAGAATAGAAAGAAATACTTTTATTAAATGTAGAGATAAAAACTGGTATCTTCAGGAAAAGATACCAGCTGAGCCATATTCTTCACTGTGTTAATTTGAACCCAAACTAGCTAACGCACATTTCAATGGTGTATTGATCAATCAGCTGTGAGCTGGCCAACCCTTCACCCCAGCCTTCAAACAGTGCACAATCATACTACAATGGCTGCGAACGCTCAAAACTAGTATAACAAAGTCAACAAGACCCGCCGATTGCGGGCTGCTCTACACAAAAACTAGGACGAAGTTATCGATGACAGTTAACATGAGATTGATTAGATCTGAATGTTGAATAAAGTGGACATAGGTTATGAAGAAGTGAAAAGACAGGAAGCCAACATATGGTCAATTATTTATAAAAATGAATAGAAAAGCTTTATTTTTCATTAGAAATAGGGACGCCGCGTCGAACTAAAAGTGGCCCAAAACAAAATGATCCACGGTGATACACTGCAGTGTGTCAATTCCGCACCGATAATAACGGGGGCATACGGCGACCGGCTTGCACCGGAATACGTGCACGACGGCACAAACAAGTTACACAAAAATACTTACCACAACTTGGGGTTGATTTCGCCCCATTTCGCTATTTGAACAGTTCCCGTTAGGTTCAGATTTTACTTTAGACTGTCCACTCTCTTGTGCTTTCACATTCCTCGGAGTTCTCTTGTTTCTGTTTTCAATAATTCGTCGATGAAACTCTTGTGTATCTTGCCTTTCTTGTTCTCTCCTTTGAGGAGTGGAAGAATCAAAAATTCGAAGAGATTGCGCTTTTCCTTTCCGAACTTTCTCAATTCTCTCTCGCAATCGGACGACTACCTGTTGTTTTCTGGGGGACAGGTAATCCCCCATAGTCTCCCGTAGAACCACTATGGTGACGAATAAGCCCTAATAACTGCCCCGAAATTTTGGGGAAGCTCTAGTCCAATTACGATTTGCAGTTCGTCGACAAGAGTCTCGGAAATTGGTAGCGAGTCAGCGGTACGGTATACGGTCCACTATACTATCGAGTCAATACAAATAATTCCACAGTACAGTCGATCGAGTCTAGTCGCATATCACGCACGCTATACACACCACAACCGTGCTAGCTATCACGATCACGGGCACACACGGGGTTACCGTACCGCTACATACATGGGACATCCACGGCCAACACTTGGTCGAAGAGCATAGCAGAGGCGACACAGTTGCCAATTTGAAGGTCATTTACAAACTTGAAAGATTGTAGAGGTTTCCGTTATATTTTCTTCAACGACATAGCTCGATTGATTGTTCATCGTTTCAGATTCACAAATAATCAAAATAGCACAATCCATTTAAAAAATATTTGTTGAACTGCAAATAATAACTGCAATACACATTCGAATGAATCCGTGAGCATGCAGGCCCTGTATTTGTGTGCGTGTGTGTATCGGAGAGGGGGGGGGGGGGGGAGGGGGGTGTAGCCGTGTAGGTTGGTCTAATACAGATTTCGCCTAAATTTGCAGATTTTATTCTTACTTATAGCATGATAATTCTGCTATGTCCTGGACCAGGCGCGGATCTAGGGGGCCGAACGGGCCTTGCCTCCCCCTCCCCCTATTAAACCCAAAAGAGAGAGAAGGAAGGGAAGGGAAAGGGAAAAAAAGAGAGAAAGGGAAAGAAAAAGGAAGACAAAAAGAAGTGAGGAAGGGGAGACCAGATGCGATTTTTTTTTCCCCCAACAAGGTGTAAATCGAGGGGATGCACTGACGTACGGAGGAAGTGGGATGCCCCCCCCCCCCCCATAAAATTCAACCGTGGTTTATTTCGATACCGGCGATTTACAAAGTGCTGCTAAAATGACATAATTTTCCGAGATTTTCCCTCACTTTTTAGTTAATTATACTTTTTTATGCGTTTCTTGGAAAATGACAAATTCCTATATTTACTGTCAGGCGAGAAATGTGCTTATGTGAAGGCTTACATGTCAGGGCCCGCGGAACGGCGGGCTCGGGGGCCTCGAGCTTCCCCTCCCACTTTTTTCGAAAAAGTGTAAGAAATAGAAAGAAGAGAGAAAGAAAAAAAAGAAAAGTGACCTGCCAGTGTCACAATATATCGATGTATTAAAATATGCTCATGCATCTGACCGTGATTAGCCTAAATACCGAAAAAAACCCTGAGCTTCCGAGGGCCCTACTCCCCCTTGATTCCACCTAGGGCCCTAAGGCGGGCTCCTTGATGCTAGTGTGACGGTAATTTAATGCATAGAACCTCTGAGCTTCTGGGGCTCCGCCCCTGGACCCCACGCCAATTAGTGTCCTGCCAGTGTCCTGCCAATGATTACAACGGCATTTGAAAGAAAATACTTAATTTAGAACTTCCCTCAAAACGAAAGGGCTTGAAAATGTCTTTTGTGTGGGGAAAATAACGACCGTTAGTTGTCGAATCGTCTTGAGGGATTGCAGCCCTTTTATTAAGTAAACTGATTTTCAGACCCTTGTACCGAATGGTCGTACGTTTTCTGCTGCGCAAAGATTCAATCAGTTTTGATCATTAAAAGAAGTGGGTTATTGATGTAGACAAATGCTCATGTACCTGTTACATCTCATTTTATGTACGTTAGAAAAAAAGATGTCAGCCAGTCACTCAATAGTATCTGACAGTGAAGTCTAGTCAAAGTAAACGGGTTTCCTTGCATAATTTGAATACGTTTAAATTTCACAGATAGTACTCTAGGCCTACGTGACATATTCATAATTCCTGCAAAGTTCTATACAGAATGTGATGTTATTTTTTCAATACAGATCGATCAATCGATCTGATGTACTGGGTGTAAGCCACAAATATGTTTAAATAATTAAAATTTCACACAGGAATATTACATTTATAAAAGAATTTGATGTTGGCTACAATTGGAACTAGTCAGGGAGACAGGGACACAGAACCTTTACTGTGTGACTGCAACTTATTGATTTAGTATGTAAGTTCAATCGCAACTTTTTATCGGCTTTGGGCAGACAAAACTTTGTAAAAGAAAAGAGGGACTTAACTTTGGCATCATAATACAAGAGAGTGGGCTACATACATCCACATGTAATATTTAAGAGATTCTGGAGAGAAAGCTGAAGGTTATAGATTACATTATAACATCCAGACGCGTACGTGTTGGGGGGGGGGGGGGGGTTGGGGTCGAACCCCAGGTTTTTTGTGTGTGTTTTGGAGGAACCCCCTCTCATTTTTTTTTTAAATTAAAAATGTCCTCTTACCCCCCCCCCCCCTCCGCTTATTCAGCGGCTGGCTGAGTCGTTGCGAAATTTTTGGGACCCCCCCCCCCCCCCCCCCAAAAAAAAAAAAAAAAAATATATATATATATATAACTCATTTTTATGGAGAACCATTTTAAATTTCGAGACCCCCCCCCCCAAAAAAAAAGTGACCTCTTACCCCCCCCCCCCCCCCCTGCTTATTCAGCGGCTGTCTGAGTCGTTGCGAAATTTGCGGACCGATTTATAAATTTTAAACCCCCCCCCCCCCTTGAAAAAATCCTGCGTACGCGCCTGGTCACAGCCATGCATTCTCAATTTCTACACTGAGTCATGAAGGCGAGAACCGTGGTAGCGGATACCCCCCCCCCCCCCCGGGTTTAAAATAATCAATAATACGTGGACTGTCCTTCAGACTGGATAGTATTTATGTGGGTATTTAAAGTCAGCCTCTCAAGCGAATTTATGCCTCACCCATGGGCGTAAATCTGTAATTAGATAAGATAAGATAAGATAAGATTTTATTCGTCTTTCTTTCAAATGACATATATAGATCATAACAAATTGATACCTATTGTTCAGGGGGATGATCTATTCATTCAACCCCCCCCCCCCCCCCCTGAACAATAGGCACCTCTCGGACCGAGATGGGGAAAGCCCAACGAACATGCGATAGTACGAAAACACTGTATGCAGGCTTTTGTGCTAATCATTATACAATGCGCCTTCATCAAATTGGCACCCGTACTTTTCGGCATCCTCAGTGACGTGCCTGATTACACAATGAATATTCATGATCCGCCTCCGCGATTCCTCGGCCGCCCGGAAGATCAAAAGAATACACACATATTGGTAGATTCCCGTACACAGTTTTGCGAATTATAACGGGACATCTACGTAAGTGATACACATAGCCCGATATGGGTGAAGTAACGGCGGAGAGAGAAGGATCGAAGAGTATTATTTTGACGGGGATTGCACATTATGGTTCAATTGATATGAATATCCAGTTAAAATATCTACTTGTAACTGCATTTAGTTGCTCTGCAAGGACTTTATTGTCTAGAAAGTTTGTAAATCATTAAGTGTGCTGGGCTGTCTATAATATATATGTATCGACATGAGTAATATATGCGGGGGCGAATATTCTACTTCATGAACTTTGTATACCCCGGCCTTTGTGTAAGAAGAACCAGAGATATTCAGTAATTTCGATGACGAAAATTTGTACAGTATCGGGGAAACCCAGTGTTGAAAACGATGAGTAATAGGGCTATAAGAATAGTTTCGAAATACATTGTTTGTAATTACTTTATCCATGGAAATAGTAAGCTGACATGTAATTATATAGGCCTATATATGCCGGCTTACCTGTGCTCTGGAATTTAGTGTTTCATGGAACTTGCAAATGTTTGCTATAATGACATGACATTATATAGGTGAAAGGAAATATCATCTTCTATAGATTAATGTTAATAAAGTAAAATAACAGGGATCAATAGCTCTGATAGGTACACGTTTTACTTTGACAAGTGCCCCTTTTTAATTGTAATAATTGCCCCCTTCCCCTTCTGATAAGTGCTCTTTTACTTCTTTGATGAGTGCCCCTGTTTACCTTTGATAAATGCCCCTTTTCCTTCTCATAAATGCCCCCTTTACACCCCATTAATAATATTGCCACTATCAAAAATCTGAAGGCGCCCTTTTTCCTTTCTCATAAGTGCCCCTTTTCATCTCTGGTGAGTGCCTCTTTTCAGTTGCGAGAAATTCTCCTTCTCACCTCTGATATTTCTGCACTTTTTACTTTGACTCGTGCCCCTTTTCCTGTTTAATAATTTCACTTTTTGCTTCTGATACGTGCCCTTCCCTTTGTAGCACGAACCCCTTCCCTTTCTCTGAAATACCAGTTTTCACTTCTGATAAGTGCCCTTCTTGGGACACGTGCCCCTTTTCCTTTCTCATAAGTACCATATTTCCTTCGGATAAGTTCACTTTAACCTTTTATATATATATGAGCCCCTTCCCCGCCAAATGACCTTTTTTACATCTGATATAACCCCCTATGAAAATCTGATAGGTCCCCTTTTCCTTCAACAGATGCCCCATTTCCACTCTCATAAGTGCCTTTTTAATCGCTGTTGGGTGTCCCTTTTCAGGTACAAGAAGTGCACCATTTTTACCTCTGATAATTGCCCTTTAATTCCTTTAATTTCCCTAGAGCTCGCTCGCTATGCTGCTCTCATTTATAGTTTTTATCATTATATGTTACTCATAAAAGAATTGTTCAGTCTTTCTTCATTAGATTGTGCTTAAAACTAATCAGTGTTTATCTAAGATGTAATTTTCCTTACTGCGACCTCACAAATCTAAACATTTTGCTCGCTCGCTTCGCTCATTAAAAAATTAATATTCAGACCATCACACCCAACTACAAAGTATGCTGCTTAAGCAGTATCTTGTATTACGTAAAGAGAGAGACAAATATTGATGTCATCCCTGATAGTGAACTTGCAATCATAACGATGAAGGGGGTATAAACCAATGTCTGAAAATTATGTTCACTTTGAGATTTTCCTTTATAGGTGCCCCCTTTTTCAGAAAGTGCCCTGTTGGTGCCCCCACTTTTGAAGACGCTTCGCTGCCCCTACTTGACAAGAATCACAGCAACGAATGGTGTGGTATCACGAATTTACTAGCTAAATCGCAATCCTCTATGAACTTTATTTATCTATCCATGTATCCATTTATCTTCGCAACCCAATCTATTTTTCTCTCTCTCTTCCACTTTTAGCCGTAAAACATCGTATTTTGTTTCATTTCTCTTTTTATTTTGTGCTTGTGTATTCCGCTTTCATGTAGTTTAATTCAGTGAACATGCTTATCTTTTGAGTACGTTTTTTTTTTTAAAATATTTTTTTTATTATAATATTTATACACATATACCAATTTTATATTTATACTGGGGTCCAATCTTTGTATCTGTATAATAGAATCACTGCATTTGCTGTACTGAAGTTAATATTACCTAGAGTAAATTTTTAATTCGTACAATAATTCATATAAGTATTTATTTTCTACATAACTCCGCCTCTACCATTAATAGTTTGATAATGTGTAAAGCTTGAATTTTTATATCGATACATTATGATGGTGTCACTATTCGCACTTCCCGCTGCCTATCATCTTACTATCCCCACTTGAATCTTCTTCTTCTCCTTCTTCCTCTTTCTCTTCTACTTTTTCTCTTCTTCTCCCTCTTCATAATCTCACCATCCTCTTGTCTATGCTTTCTTTACTCTACACCACCATCACGTTCTTCTTCACTTTTCTTTATCTCCTTTTTATATAAAAATTAGTTAGGGAGATCAAATAATAATAAGAAATACGAATTTTAAAGTTAAATATTATTTTTAACAATTTACTCATTCAAGTTCAGTTCATTAATTTGATGTCATTTAATATGAATGTTTTTATATATTGTATTTTACATTTGTAAAACATTGCCCAATTCGGCCTTGTAGGCCGCGATGCATTGTTGTTCTTTTATTCTCAATAAAACCATTATCAATTCAATTCAATGATTGACAGAACAATATATTTCATGTCATTGACTACTATGATTCAGGATTATTTTTTACTTTCTACTTTATTTTTTAAACTTCCATATCACTTAAAGAAAATGATTTGTAAAAGAGTATTATGCTTTGTTAATTTTGCATGGGATATTAATAAAAGCAACCACCCAATCAATTATATGACTTGCTTTAATTACAATTTTTTTTGCCTTAATTGATTTTTATGCCCTCCTAAAATTTTAACTTGATCGAAATTCCCAATTATAAGACAAAGTGCTAATATCGACCCCCATCCCGAGTAAAAAAAAAAGGACACTTTTGTCTGGTCTAATATATTATCTTTTCAACTTCCACTGACATTTTTTGTGTGTGGAAGTGGCGTATCTATGATTTGGCGTCAGGTAAGGGTGCGCAATGGGGGGGGGGGGGGGGGGAATTGCGCCCCCGTCAAAAATTATCTACATAACTGTGAAAGCAGGCGAAGCGAGCGAGGCACTTCTTATTGTAGTAAAAACATTATTTTGTCATCAAAATATACGCTGCAATGGCCGAGTGTGAGGAATTTGGGGCATTCCGTTGTCATCCTGTTTTTGGATTTTGTGAGGGAGCGAAGCAAGCGAGCAACAATGGTCACTTTGATTTCTTGAAATGTTATTTCATCATAAAAATTCATTTTAGCTTAGATGTAAACATGGTTTAATCAGGCACCTTGCTGCAGGCCTAGCCATCGATTTTCTTTAAATACTAAAGTTCGGCACAGGGGAGGGGGCCCGGGGTTGATGAATGCCTTCTTATGATTATTTTGTGAACGAGTCTGGTGTGTTGCTATCAAAGTTTTTTTCTATCCCACTGTTTCCTTCCTCCACTTTCATGTGCATTAAAACATATCTTTACTCTGTTCTCTCATTTCCTCACCACCCCCCTCCCGTTTAATACCACTTCCTTTGGCTCTCTCACTTTCCTCTTCTCTTCCACCTCATGCACTAGTCCTCACTTCATTTCCTCTTCCTGTCATTCACTCAAACGCCCTCTCTCATTTCTTACCCTCTTCCTACCAGCGACCGGTTTCCCATTTCTACCGTATGACACCCATTTAAAACTCTCAGACCTCTTGGAAAAATTTACAATCTGTTGAATCTGACTTGCAAATAAGAGAGCCATACTTCACACAATATTATTCAAGGTTTTATGTACATGTATCTATTTAGAATGAACGGTCGTCAATAAAATTATTTATCCTCTTTACGCCTTTCTCTTAATGCCAAATTTTTAAAGTTACGATCAACCAAACACAAATTGGCAACTCTGATGCATCTTGCTAGGTCCTCTCCAATTAGCTCTATACAGAAAATCTCATAAACTTTAATTTTCTTAATTATTGATGACGGAATAGATTTCTTCCTTAAATGAGGATGTTATAGAAACATATATGCAATAATTATATATTGGGTGCATGAACGATCATTTTTTTTTTTTTAAGTTGCCACGGTTGCCAAATTTTTGAAAATAATTATTGCAGCTTCAATAATATATATTCATAACTTTCTTATTTTAATTGGAATTTGCTCAAATTTTCACTGACCGGTTCTTCTCATTTTTGGGGCATCTATTAAAAACAACTTAAATCAGGGTGGACTTGCCCTTTAACGAGTATCAATTAATGAATAATTCATAATGCAGGGTAACATATTTAAAAATAAACATATGGATATGAAAACTATATATATATACAGTATATATCAAGGTGATTTTTTTCAAGGCAATAAAGGCTATATTCAGCTTCTTTTGTTTAAATGCATGACTGATTTATTCATGCAAATATTCACCGTATAGACTATTTGTTGCCAAGATACAAAATAGCATCAATGGCATTTTTGGTGTTTCTTAGAGCTTTGATGGCTGTGTTACGATCCACTTTCATCTGGTCCATCACGCATGTGATGTCCTTCCCGCTTAGTCCTTCCTCATTCTCTGCAACTTCTCCAATGGCTTGAAAGACAGCTCTGTCTTTGAGGGTTTCATGTATAATGTCAGGGTTCATCAGTTTTCCCTTATGGATCAACTTCATCTGCTCAAATGGGATACAAGCTGCTCTCGAAATGTCAGCCATTAAGCTTGTCCCAGTACTCTGCCTGTCAAGAGTGACACAATGTTTTTGTTTGCTTGTTTTAACAGCAATTGTCACAGGGTCTCTAATGCTGTCTACTGTAGATGTTGAAGACTCTGATTCTGTTCTTTCACCAGGTTGCAGGACCTTCTCCTGTCGTTCTGCAGAAGACTTGTAAGCTGAACCTGTAAGCAGTTCACTGTTACCCAACTTCCTCAAGGTTTGTTCATCATCTTTGCAGGTTTGTTCATCAAGTGTCAGGGTTTGTAAGTTCACCGTTTCAGTTCCCACAGCTTCCGTATCTTCTTGGTGACCACTAGTGGACCGGTCTTTTGGTGAGCACTCGAGTTTATGGGTCGGCCAGTCATGGATTTGGCATTCTCTGGAACTGTATTATGGAAGTAGAATAGAATTTTAAGAATAGCATAACATACACATTTAAGCAAGTAGATTTACATGATTTGTAATTTTGTAGATCTCGGCAACACAACATTCAAATAACACTAACAATAATAGTCTGTTATTTCCTTGAAATGTCTAACCTGAAAAGTTTGTGTTATACTACTCTAAGTCTTACTAAAAACTACTACAAGCCTCAAGTAACTAGACAGCACAGTGCACTGACTCAGTACCAATGTCAGTAATATTACTAGAGAGTAACTAGCTAGTTATATTAATTGAACTATCGATTCACTGACATGCTCTAAAACCAGTAAAACTAAAAGTTTCAGAAAGACTAAGAGTCTAAGAGCAACATGAATCATCTCAAAATGTTGCATTATGATGCTTTTCGCTTGATGGTCACAAAAAATGAGACCGTGCAACCAATCCAGTCAATGCCCATAGCCTTAGGCCCTGGCCTGGCTGAACTAGCGCGGTCTGCCACTGCACTGGGCTGCATGGCCATGGGCATAGCACAGTGCATAGCCATAGGATCATGTTGTCTACATCATACTAAACTACCAAAAGATGCAATCTTACACAAACAGAATTCTAAATCATACCAATAAAATGTCGATTTACAACTTTTACAGCGTTTAAGTGCTTTAAACGGCTTGTCACAGACATATCCTTTTCTTCTCTCATGGGCGCAGCCATCTTTAATTTAATAAAGATTAGTAAAATGAAGAAAGCATTTTTGATAATTAATAAAATGTTAAGTAGTTTACCGGTCCAAATTAAATAAATGTTTCATTTTAAAATATATTTCATTACTTGTTTACCTTATAAGTAACATAACTAAAATAAAATAATACGAGGTAGATCTCTAGATGAACCTACTTCTTGCGCTTCATGCAAACTTTTCACGGTCGCGGTTGTTGTCTTGTTGTGCATGTGACATGTGCGCTGGCATCGGGATATTTTGATCGCCCAACACTGAGTGGAGCTGGAGCGAGGTGGCTAGGCGCTAGTCGGCCAGCCCAGCAGCGCCCCGGGTACAACGACCGGGAGTACGGCGAGACTCGAAGACGAAGCCCGATCCATATTCATGACCATGTCACGACTCACTACGAGGTTATTTGCTTGAATGAGAGCTCCATGCAAATGGAGGAGTACGTTAGTTTGTCATATTGAGTGAAAGCAGAAAAATTAATCATAGACTAGACTACCATAAATAATATTTGTGTCATGTCGCGTCGTTAGACAGTTGAGTTAGTTTTTTGGACGTGGACCCAGCTCAGTTGGAGTTGTAGAATTTTGTGCACTGCCCTACACTGGTGTATTGTGAATGTGATTATTTAGCGTGTTCACTAATCAGTGCAGTGATTGCACAACATAAGTACATATATCTAGATCTAACTAGGCCCTATATTCTTATTTTAGCTACAGCCAGGAAGCAAGGTTGCACAAACAATAACACACATGATAAATAGTATTTCCTTTTCATTTTTTTTATTGAGGTAGAAATACATCAAGTGAAGTCGGCCAAATAAATGGATCAGAAATGACATTTTCATATATTCATATATTTTTTTAAATCTTTTTCTTCTCCCCTTCTACTATTACTTCCCCTTCTCCTTCTCCTTCTCCTCCTCCTCCTCCTCCTCCTCCTCCTCCTCCTCCTCCTCCTCCTCCTCCACCTCCACCTCCTTTTGTCTTCTTCTTCATGTTATTGTTTTTATTCCCAGTCCCTGTGTTTAGCAAAAGAGTTGACTGGCCCTTTTTATGCATTTCCCCCTTTTTCATAACATCTGACTATCGAGTTTAGAATACACTCTGATATCATGACGCCAGTTTTAACATTGTTTTCTTCTCCAGAACTGTATCCTGTCGGCCTATTGAGTGTTGCTTATGATCATAGAAAGATGTCAGCAAAATGACTGAACTGACCCTTCACAAGCTGATGATAGAAACCTGCTCCAAGTTCCCCCATCACTTGGCAGCCATATTTGATGACGGTTGCCATGGTGCCGAGGTGGTAACATACAGACAGGTTCTGGAGACCGCAAACACAGTAACATCCCTTCTAAATGCTCACTCCAAGTGTGGGGAGATCATCGGCCTTTATGCGGAGCCTGGCATCACCTTGCCTGCTTTCATTCTTGGGTAAGTCACCTGGGGCATATTCTGAGATTCATTTTGATCTCAGTAGGGCTGTCTTCATCAGCTCAAGATTGCCAAATATCCCGCTATGTGAACTATCCCGATCGCAAATTATCAAGCTAATTTGCGTCTTCATCAGCCCAAATTAGCGGGATATTTGGTCGGGATAATATCCCAAGAAATCTCAGTCTAGTTTGCAAAATATCCCACTCTTTCTTCTTAAGAAGATACTGGTGTGATGATCTCAGACTACGAGCTGGTGTATAAGAAATAACAAGGTCTTGTAAATAGTTTGGTGCCACTCTATTTACAGCCTTCCATGTGAGGAGAAGGATTTTGAATTTTATGCGCTTGTAGATTGGCAACCAGTGCAGCTTTTTGAGAACAGGAGAAATGTGTTCATATTTAGATGTCCCTGATAAAACCCTGGCAGCTGCATTCTAAGCGTGTTGAAGTTTGTCAAGTATGCGTGAAGTGTATAAATATATATATTACATACATACTTAACAAGACTGTGTTGAACTTGCAGTACCGGTATGTTCTTATAACTGCCTCGATCCCCATGGAACCATATTACACATGCCTGTGAAGTACTGTGTAGAGATACTTTTCTGTATAGATTCGAAAATAGACAATTGTGTTATCCTTTGTTTATCACAACAAAGGACTCCACATTATCCTTTAACTTTTCTTTTTATATGATCTAGACCTCCAAGTACATCCAGCACCTGTGCAGTACAGTTTCTAAGAGATCCTCTCAAGTCCCATTGTTTGGTGGTCCTTGGAACTTGAACTAATCCCCCTTTCGATCAGTGACAGCTACTTGTACAAAACAGTGCACTTTTGTATAGTTGTATGAAAGGCCACAGTTGCCCAATTATGTAGACAATTCTTGTTAATTTTTAATGCAAAGCAAAAAGGCAGCATTTGGTGGAAACTTGAAGTTTAAAGAAAGGACTGCTTTATACATGGAGTTTGCGTGAAATTCTGTTTAGCCTTGACATTTCTCTCAGCGGATTTATGTTCATGTGCTCATTTTCTGGCCCCTTTTACCAACCAACAGTGTCTCTTCTTGTACTGGTATACCTTTGTATGTAAATTATTGTATGAAATGTATTGCTGTTGCTGTTAGTAAATAAATCAATCAAAGCAAAATACTTACATTGTTATGCCTCTGAGGGAGTAGCTTTTATTTGCAGTTTTTTAATTGCGAGTAACTGACTATTTCAACAAATTTATTTTTCTGTAGTCTTCCAATTCCTGCAAACATTATTTCTTCATAATTTATTATTTTTTGCTTAAACCAGTATTCTGCAACTCCCTGCTGCCTACGGCCCTATTGATCCACATGCTCCAAGCTCCATCAATGAGTATTTCATCAAAGAAGTTGGCATCCGTATCGTCTGTGTACAGAGCTGTCTATTAGAGGTAGATATATTTTTAATTTATTAGCAAGAGATCTGTTTTGGCTTAATTTTGATGAGCAGTTATGACTCAAACTATTGTCGACTAATTTCTTGTTCTAGGAATTCTCAAGTAGATTCCTACCTATCTTGATATATTTATATCAACAAGTTTATTTCACCAGCATCAGAATCTTCTGCCTGAAATAAATCAATGATTATTTGCTCAGAGCTCAATAAAAGAAACAATAAAGGGGAAATAATAAACTGGTCTAAAAGTATAAGGAGTGATAAGGATTCAAGTAAGAACAAAAGTAGATATGATGGCAAGATGAAGTCCTTTGGTCTTTCACTTATTCATTTGGCTTGAATTTGAAACCAGGAGAGAATTTAACCTAGTTTATCTTAACATCGGTTGCTTTATTTTCAGATACATTCTTGCACGTGTAACTGGCCGTAACTGTTGATGATCATAACTGCATAATTCTTTTTCATCCCTAAATCTTTCTTCCTTTTGTTTGATCTCACCACATCAGCACTTTGCCAATGGTCTAGGCCAAAGCTTTGATTGGGAACTCTGCCACAATGTAGACCAAGAGCCGATGTCTTCTGGGCTAGTTCCAGTGCGACTAGAAGCCACCAAGCACAACAAGCAGGACCTGTGCAATGGAGACAGAGAGGAACAGTCCTCTTCTCTGGCATATGCTCTCCATACCTCAGGGACGACTGGCAGGCCTAAGATAGTGCGAGTGCCACACTCTTGTATAGTACCAAACATTTTGGATCTTAGGTTAGTGAAAAATAATACACTGAAGTAGATTCATTAACCCATTAAATTTTGGTTTTGGTAGAGGTGTTGTGGCCCAGTGGATAAGTCTCTAGACTTTGAACCACAAGGTACAGGGTTCAAATCCTTACTGTACTATCATCCTTTGACAAGACATTAATCTACATTTGCCACTCCCAAGGTGGGTTGAGGTAAATCGGTACCTGGTATGATCATTCCTGGAAATGCATTCTGCGCTGATAATGGCTGCTGTAGCTAAAGCTAGGGTATTAATTTCCAAAGCTCTTTAGAAGTGCATAGATACATTATTGAGTGATATGCGCTATACAAGAACTGATTTTTTTTAAAAACTTATTATTATTACTATTTTTATGAGACTCCACCCAAGTTACCCCAGGCTTAGTACTCCAAAGGCTCAAGTGATCATTGACTTTGTCATTCATTGGCCCCATTATGCAAAATGATGAAGTATCAAGTTAGTGGTGCCTCTTCACGCATAGTCGCCAGTCAGGATACAATAATCAAAACCATTCAAACTTCTTGTTTCTGAGTATTGATTTGCGTTGTAGTTCTGTTTGTGGACAATAGATATATCAGACATGGGTCAAGTATTACTCTAATGTGTTCTTATTCGAAAATGGTTCTTTATGATGAAGATTTTGATGTGCTTTTTAATGGTAATTTTATGAAGTCTGGTTTCAAGAGGATGCAAAGATGTTGTAAAGAGAGGTCTCTGTGTTTTCCGTTTAAACCATGATCATTTTATTGGTAGAGCTCTTCATCCCTTTATTTTACAGGGTGATTTTCACTATCACCGAAGATGATGTGGTCTTCATGGCTTCACCTCTGACCTTTGACCCCAGTGTGGTAGAGATGTTCATGACCTGGAGCCAGGGAGCAACCCTCCTGATGGTACCTACCAAGCTCAAGATGGCTCCCAGCTCTCTAGCCCAAGTCCTAAAGAGAAACCATGTGACTGTTTTACAGGTAGAACAGGGCTGCAACAATATTTGAATTAGATCATTCATGATTGTTATTTTTTATATAGAAAGGATGCAAACCAGGACCTGGTTTAAAGTGGTATAAACTGCCAGGAAGTTAAAGAATAGATGCCAAGTTGGAACATTTCTCAAAGTATTTAATGTGAGGGTTTGCTGCAAGTTTTACAACTTACATATAGATTTCTGCATTGAAACATAAGTAGTCAAATTCATCTTCAAATATTCTGAATATTGATAATTCTGCTTTAGATTTCAATACAGGCATAATTTGTTTGTTTTTGCCTCAGATCTTAAAATAGATTCATGAACTATTTAAGGAAAGGACTTGGGAATAATATTTCTAAAAAAATGTTTAAAAATCACTTCTTCTTCCTCCTCTTCTTCCATCAGGCCACGCCATCCCTCGTATCCCGCTTCTCATCCTCGGCGTTGCAACAAGATCTTCTTGGTGCCTCCTCTACCCTTCGCCTCCTTGTTTTCGGGGGCGAATCCTGCCCTACTCCTGCTTCCATCGCCCGCTGGAGGGGGGCTGGGAACCGGACAGAGTTCATCAATCTGTACGGAATCACCGAAGTATCCAGCTGGGCTGCCTGCTTCAAGATTCCAGAGGAGTGGATAGAGGAGAGACTAGATTACCAGTGAGTACCTAGTAATATCGTTGGTGTGGTTTGTTTGTTTTACCTGTGGACAGAGGAGAGACTAGATCACCAGTGAGTACCAAGTAATATTGTTGGGTGGTTGGTTTGTTTTCCCCGACTGCTAAGAAATCATGTGTATGCTTGTAAGTAAGCAACCAGGGGACCGACGGCTTCAAGTCTTCTCCAAGAGATATCTTGTAATACTGTTAGCTTATTTAAGTATATCTCTAAAATATTTAAGCATCTTTTCAATGTTACTCTGTAACAGCAATTGCGATAGTCATTTGACTGATAAGATTGAGGGGAATCAGTACAGATATTGTTGTCATGGGCATTGGCTGTATTTATGAAGGTGGACAACCTAGTTGAACTAAGTCCACTAATTTATGGAGTGCGAAATGTACCATTAATTTTAGTGTACCAGAAATTTCTGTATATCTATGACAAAAATGAATGCTTAAAAGGAATCCAGTCATAAAAAAAGGAAAGAGAAATTAATTTCACATTGGCATGATTTTGTTTGTTCATTTAGTATCAGAATTATGCTAATATTTACTTTGGTTCCCTTAGATCAGTGGACTAGATCTACCTACTTAAACCTACACTGATATTAGCGCCAACTTGTGATAACCGACCGTGTCTTTAAAGTTTGTGTTGGTCTATTTTGCAGATCATTCTAAAACGCCTTGTTGCTCTTTCTGTCCCGTTTGTTTCTGTAGTATTCCATTAGGAGATGCACTGAAAGACACCATACTTCAAGTCAGAGATGAAACCGGGCGAGAGCTTGAATCAGGCATAGGGGAGGTGTTTATCGGTAAGCTGGAGTAAAAGTTTTATACCACATTCTTGCAGATCCAAGAAAGTGCAGTTTTACTGAGTAGTCTTTAAACCCCCCCCCCCCAAAAAAAAAGGTATATTAGTGAAAGAGGTTATGAAATCGAAGAACGCAAATTACACCTTCAAGGTAAAAGTAAAATGCCTCATGTGTAAAAAAGTATTGAAATATTGATAAGGGAGTACTTGATTTAAAGATAGACAAAACAAAATTGAGAATAGCCTTGGATAAACATAGTGAGAGACAGACGTTGATGGATATGCATTTCAAATTTTTTGAATGGTCACTTTCATTTTAATCTATCTTACTGTGTATTAGAAAATGATATGTAAACACTATGGTGTCGTTAGTGAGTGAATACTTGCAATCATTTTGTTCTATTACAGGGGGATACCTGCGTGTCTGTTTCCTTGGTGATGAAGAGTTACAAGTGTTAGTGAGGAGAGACCAACTGGTAATGAGGTCAACTGGAGATATGGTAGAGGTCACCAACAGAGGGCTCCTCTTTCTCGGCCGTCAGGACGATCAAGTCAAGCGTCATGGCAAACGAATAAGTCTCTTTCATGTTAAACAGGTAAATATTTTGCATTCTGTTTTTCATCTGAATGTGTCTCATAAAGACATGGGGGGTGTTTCACAGTCCTAAGTCAGGCTTAACTCTAAGTTGGACTTAAAATTATGGAGAGCTATTTGCAGAGAAAATTCAGCTTTTTTAGACTTTTTATAAATTCCACATCAAGAACAAGAAATCTCCTCGATAATAGAAGATATGAATGATTTGTATCAAAATTTTCAAAATATTTTCATAGATGCTAATGGCTTTCCATAATTGTGAAGTCCAACTTAGAGATAAGTTCAACTTAGGATCTTTGTGAAGCACCCCCATGTTATATCGAAAATAGTACAAGTGTTTTGATGACATGTAATTCCAGATATAACATGTACAGAATATTGGTACAGTGGTTAGAATTTAGTGAAGGCTTAAGTTATATGATGTTGTGAAGTCTTTGTTTGGGATGTAATATTACTGATTGTGATTCTGATTATGCTCTAACAGGTAATTGAAGCCTGCCCAGATGTTGAATCCTGTGATGTCATCCATACAGACGGCAGGTTGATTGCATTCTACACTCCGTCCGGCAAACACCCTACCTCAACACCAGGTCCAGTCGAGCAGCGGTCTGGTCAAGAAAATGATATCATCCAGAAGACCTTCTCTCCTCTTGGATCTGCCTCACCACCACTACCATCACCATCGTCGTCATCACCGGTCATGCCGTCGTTTGATCTGGAGTTAAGTGATACGTCAGCTGGAGTAGCAAGACCAACAGGAAAACAATCAGTTTCTTCAATTACATCACTGAACAAGTTAAAATATGATCCATCCAGCCAGTCAGATTGGTCAAGTTTAGATTTCAATCACAAACAATCCTCAAATATATCTGAAATAGATCTAGGTGACTGTTCGCTTGATCTGGAATTAAGTGATACGTCAGCTGGAGTAGCAGGGCCAACAACTGGAAAACAATTGGTTTCTTCAATGACATTACTAGCTGAGTTAAGATATAATCCATCTACTCAGTCAGCTGATGGATCAAGTTTAGATTTCAATCACAAACCATCGTCAAATATATCTGAAATAGATCCAGGCGACTGCCAAAACAATGGCCGTGTATCCGTAGCTATCAGAGCATTAGTGCCTTCGGAGGATTCAAAGACCTCTTTGGGTAGGGTCCTGCAGCCTCCGAGGAGTGTTGCGAAGTATCTGAGAGGGGCACTTTCAAGTCATGCTATCCCGGACCGGTTTGTGGCCCTGCAGGAGCTCCCCATCACAAGACATGGCAAGGTGGACACGGCAGCGCTGAAGGAGCTTCTTTGGCAGCTTGAAGCATCTGAAAAGGAGAGGAGAGAGAAGCAGAACATCAGAGGCCAAAGGTCAACGGGAAGATGGCAGGAGATTCTGGTCAGAGAGTGGAAGGTGAGAAATCATGCTTTGTGAATGCTATTAGGATTTAAACGAACTGTTTATTGCAAGTGTAATCTAGTGAAAAGCATAGTTATTGTAATTCTCTCTTGTTGCATTTATATTCCGACTTTCAGTTAATGATGAAGAAAACTACAATATTGTTATTTTTATGCCTCCGCCACCGAAGGTGGTGCCGGAGGCATCATGTTTTCGGGTTGTCCGTACGTCCGTCCCGTTTGACCGTTATCACAATATCTCAAGAACCATTTAAGATTTAAACTTAAGACTCGGGAATAGTATTTATCACCATAGGAAGACGATCTGATTAGATTTTGGAGTACGTAGGTCAAAGGTCACAGGTCACAGAGGTCAACTTATGAAATTCCTTGTATTGAGTTTGTTAGCGCGATATCTCAAGAACCATTTGAGATTTAAACTTCAAACTTAAGGATAGTATGTATCACCATAGGAAGACGATCTGATTAGATTTTGGAGCACGTATGTCAAAGGTCAAGGGTCACAGAGGTCAACTTATGAAATTCCATACATGAGATTGTTATCATGATATCTCAAGAACCACTGAAGATTTAAACTTCAAACTTAGTGATAGTGTGTATCACTATAGGAAAACAATCTGATTACATTTTGGAGCACGTAGGTCAAAGGTCAAGGGTCATAGAGGTCAACATATGAAATTCCATACATTGAGATTGTTATCATGATATCTCAAGAACCACTGGAGATGTAAAAACTTCAAACTTAAGGATAGTATGTATCACCATAGGAAGACGATCTGATTAGATTTTGGAGCACGTAGGTCAAAGGTCAAGGGTCACAGAGGTCAACTTATGAAATTCCATACATTGAGATTGTTATCATAATATCTCAAGAACCACTGGAGATTTAAACTTCAAACTTAATGATAGTGTGTATCACCATAGGAAGACAATCTGATTAGATTTTGGAGCACGTAGGTCAAAGGTCAAGGGTCACAGAGGTCAACTTATGAAATTCCATACATTGAGATCGTTATCGCGATATCTCAAGAACCACTGGAGAATTTTCACTTCAAACTTAATGATAGTATGTATCACCATATCATAATATCTCAAGAACCACTGGAGATTTAAACTTCAAACTTAATGATAGTGTGTATCACCATAGGAAGACAATCTGATTAGATTTTGGAGCACGTAGGTCAAAGGTCAAGGGTCACAGAGGTCAACTTATGAAATTCCATACATTGAGATCGTTATCGCGATATCTCAAGAACCACTGGAGAATTTTCACTTCAAACTTAATGATAGTATGTATCACCATATCATAATATCTCAAGAACCACTGGAGATTTAAACTTCAAACTTAATGATAGTGTGTATCACCATAGGAAGACAATCTGATTAGATTTTGGAGCATGTAGGTCAAAGGTCAAGGGTCACAGAGGTCAACTTATGAAATTCCATACATTGAGATTGTTATCATGATATCTCAAGAACCACTGGAGATTTAAACTCCAAACTTGTTTAAATTGCTCTATGGCGGAGGCATCATTTTCGACTGCGCGCAGTCAAAATTTCATCTAGTTTTAATAAGGTGATACATTGTATACTCACAAAAATATTTGCAAGTTTATGAGCTTTTAACAAAATACGAGGCCAAAACTCAATTACACATAGTTCATATCAAATTGATATATTTGGGTAGGGGCAAATTCAAGATTGTTTAAAAGAGGGCTAAAAATTTCCGCCAACACAAACTTGGAAAAGGGAGAGCAAGCTAGGATCATAACGTTTCCTGAAAAGTGCTTCTCCTGGAAATGTTTTGCCATTGGAATCCGATGGCCATCTCAAGTGTCTGACAGGGCTGCTGGCCTTTCTCTTAAACCCTGAGGCAAGAGATGTTTTTCTTGTTTTCTTTTGCCCCTCATCCTCCCTATATCAACATATGTTTATGTACAAAATCGCTTTATTTTGTGTTATCTTTCTTGTTTTTTCTCCAGTATGTAATTTCGCTATCTCTCATAAATATATACCCCCTCATAAAACAGAACTGTCTCTTCTTGGCTGAATCGGATGCCATTGGGGACCATGACTCCTTTGTGACACTGGGTGGAGATTCCTTCCAAGCTCTGCGCTTGGTCAATTCTCTTGAAGCTTCCCTTGGCATGCCTCTGCCTGACCTCATGGATGACCTCCTGCATCGGACCTTCTCCAAGGTTCAGCAGACCTTCGGGCAACATCTTCAACAGACTACTTGCTGCCAAAGTGATCTTGAAAGCCATCAGGACATGGACACTAAAAATCAGAAGACAAGCATTGATTCAGAACATTTTATCGAAAATCATCACCAAGAATACGAAGGTGATAAGGAGGAACAGTTTGCCAATAAAAACGTAGACAAATTATTTGCTGCAAGCACTGGCAAGGAAGCTGTTCCAGATAATTGTCTTCTTGATAATAAACCAACTCAGATTGCTGTGAGATCTGTGGAAAATCAGGACTTAAACATATCATTTTCTGAACACCAAAAGGACAATTTTTTAGGAGTGGACTCTGCAACTCGAGGTAGGAAAATGGATGATGATTTGCTGACCAGTCAAGCACTCAAAAGAAAACTTTCCTCTAGAGATCCTCTGGATGATGCATCTTCAAAGAAGACATCAATTAGCCAAGAGAGAGCGCCTCCGTTAGGCTCTGACAGGGTAAATTCACAGCCAAATTATCCAGATACCCAAAGGAACTGCATTGTTTCAGTCCGGAGAGGTACCCAGATTCTACATCACAACTGCTTTCGGGATAGGACATCAGAAGGGGGCCATGGAGCGTGTGCGGAGCCATCCGTTGAACAGTCAGAATGCAGTGTAAATACAGGAAAGCTCTGCTTTGAAGAAAATTGGAGAGTGGACACTGGGAAATGCGTTGATGCTTCACCTCTTGTAGTGTGTACCAGGTAAACTATCTAGATATCTGTTGATTAAAAAATTAAACATTTTCAATCACTTCTGTGCACTGCAAACAGAAATTTCCACCAAGAACCTTATAAGGTATCGCAGTTTTGTCAATCTCTTCTTTTTCTTCCCAAGGTATCGCAGTTTTGTCAATCTCTTCTTTTCCTTCCCAAGTACATAGGGGCAAAGTTATGTAGTGTGCCATGCACTGTACAAGAATGGTTTATTATTATTATTATTATTATCTGATGTAGAAAAGGTTTTATGCTCTGTTTATTTCTTTTTCTTGATCCATGTACTGTATTACAGTATTACAATGTAACAAATATATGAAAGTCAGAATCTAACTGTTCAAATTTGATTTATACTAAATGTTTGTTAGCTTGTTGTTACATAAGGGGTTACTATTGTCATCCTCCTCAACTTACTTATTTTCATCTATCACTTACCTCTGAGTAGAAGATGGAGCATTATACTAACATTCTCAATTTTTATCAATTTTTTATCATTCATGATGAATTTAATAAAAACTGTTTTTAAGTTTATATACTTGTAGTGGGATGCACATATTTTACATTATTTATATTTATTATTTTATAATATTGGCATTGTGAAAGCTTTGTTTTTTAGAGTGCAATAGAGGACATATTATGGAAAGAACTCAACACCTCTAAAACTATAATCTATAAATGATCATTTTGTTTTCATCCCATCTTTAAATATATATACATTGTGTAGCTCCAGCCAAACAGTCTACATTGGCTCACACTCTCACCGATTTGTCGCTATCACCATGGAAACAGGGAATGTCTTATGGGAGGCGGTGTTAGGTGATCGAGTGGAATCATCGGCTTGTCTGTCTGCTTGTGGAAAATACGTCATTGTCGGTACGAGACCTATCTTTCCTTTGTTAATCTTATAGCAGTTTGTTCAATCATACAGCAAGAATGTAATTTTTAAATACAGTGTTTGCATATTTTGGTTAGAATTATTATGTTGACTTTTGATAAATTATATCATGTTAGTGCAATAATTATACTGCTTGTCTGAAATTTATTGGACTGCGGAATGCGGTCTAAATCTTGATTGAATAGTATCAACCAGGTTGCTATGCTACTGTGATTTATGAATTTGCATTGTATCTGCTTTTGATAAGCTCATCAGTTGAAAATGAACTATCAAGACTTGATTTGGCTTATTAGAGCTTTGTATCATTGTTAAAGGGTGTAAGAAATATCTTTGATTAGAATGAAGTTCTTCTCCAAGGAAGCTAAAAATTTGTTGAATTTTTTGACATTATTATCCTGATGACTATTCAGATCTTCAGTCATTCAGATTTTACATGTTTGAATGTTTGTATCAAATACCTGACGAGTCTATGTGTCTTTCCCGTGGCCTGACTTTGGGGCCAATCGGGTATAATACGACTACGGACGACGCGACCGCAGCAATCATGTGCGTGCAACATATGTGAAACCTAAGCGTGAGGAGAACTTCGGTCTGTTTCACGAAGCAGACCATGTAGAGATTAAGTCGCTGCCTGACTACCGTTAATCAAGTCCATCCGTTTACGTGCAGTTGTCCAAAAGAAGACATAGATGGCCTTAACCAGTATTTGCCAAGCTTCACTCCCTTTAAGATAAAATAATTGTTTTGTTACCCAGGTTGCTATGATCGTTTTGTGTACTGCCTGTCTGTATCGTCTGGAGACATTTGTTGGAAGTATGAGACTGGAGATGTGGTCAAATGCTCACCAGTCTGTGATGTCACAAATGGACTGGTGTACATCGGATCACATGACCAACACATCGTGGCGTTGCAAGTTCAGGTAATTTGCGCAAAGAATTTATCTGCTGTGAAGCCGGAAGTTGGGATGGGAAACTTTGGAACATTGTTCAGGATGATGCCAATTGTGAATATGAACTACATGCGACATTTGCAAACATTTTGTGTTCACAACATTTTCTAGACTAAAGGTAGCTAATTTTAAAAGCAGCGTCAAGCTGAAAATGCATTTCTAAATACTTTGCATGGTCTCTTTTCCTTTATTACTTTATTAAGTTAATCAAATCTTTACCAAGAGTATTTCAAGTAGTTAGGCTGATTATAGGACCCTGTAATAGAAGTTGTATGTTTGCTGGACACATGGGTCTGGATGTAAACAAAATAAAAAAACCCAAAATGTAAATTTTGTGGACTTAAAGAACCAGATACGCATTTTGCATGTGAAAGACATGTATACAACTAACGGTAATCTTTTCACTACCTGCTTTATCTATCATAATTTTTTAATGGAAATGAGAAATAAATTCAATGAAACAAAATGGACCCCCCCCCCCCCAACAAAAAAAAACACATCAACAACAAACATATAACAAACAAAGTAGAATGTCACATATCAATCTGCTAATGCCACATATTTGTAGTTTTTACATTCCATATTATGGACAATAAAATCAATTCAATTCAATTCAATTCAATTCAATTATTGGGTTTTAAGCATAGCACTTTTCATTTATACCAGAACTCCAAACAACCTTGGATGTCATGGTTCATAGGTTTTGCCGACAACTTCTCCACCCTCTTCTTTATATCTTTGTTTGTAGGAGGAGAAATGTGAGATGAAATGGCGATCCCACTGTGGTGGTGGATCCGTCTTTGCCTCACCCTGTATCCACCATGCCTCGGGAACTGTAGTAGCAGCTACTCTGAGAGGACGTGTCGTAGCATTCAACAAGGTATTACCAGGGCCATGTCCAATGAAGAGTTGCGAGTGATCCAAACCAAATTGCAAGTCCTCTAAGCAATCAAAAATTTGCTCTCTCCTATGTAGGTAGTTGGGATTGATATCAATCGCAAATAAGATGCGATTGATTGCAACACTTTATAAGACAGGGTTCATTTATTTTTCAACGCCTTGCTCTTGAAATAATCTTAGCCGAACAAAATGTTGCAACTGTTACTATGAACCAAGTCTTCGGGGGTTTCTATTGCCTGACATTTACATGCGAGGTAAAACTGGAGTGGTAAAGAGCTATAGGTTTCCTTGGTTATTTTACGAATTTTGTTTTGATTTTGTTTTTAAACATTTTCTTCATCTCATGGTAGTTTCCTTGGTTATTGACATCCACACAGCACTATAAAATCTATTCATTCCTTGTTATAAAAGATATTGAATAGTTTGCTTAAAGGTAAAGACCAGTAGTGGAAACGCCCCAATTTCAAAAAATGAAATGGAAGCTCTCATTACCAATCATGTGAAAGAATATGTTTTGACTAATACATGATGATAAAAAATTTGCCGGGAAACCACCTACTAATTCATATATTTGGTAAATTTGTTTCTCTCATGGTCTGTGAGAGATATAGGGTAGTCCCATATACATCTTTCTGTGTATAGTGCTTGTAACTTTACGAAGAATGGGCCAAATTTCTTATCATTTTGATGATTCCAGAACCTTGCAGATGCTAGATGCTAGATGATCAACCTTTTCTGATCGATTCCACAACGTTTCTTTCACAATGCAATCGCATGACCATAACTGGTCTTTACCTTTAAAGAACATTTAGTAAACTGGTACCTGTCCTTTTTGCTCCCTTCTTGAAGTGACCAGGCACCTCAGAGGGAGATTCTTCTGAAGTGTAACAAACCTATTAAATTCTTCTCATAATCTGTATTGAATATAACAGGAGTCTGGAGAAATGAAGTGGTCATTCGCCTGCCCAAAGCCAGTGTTCTCATCACCTGTTGCTATAGACAACAGCGTTCTTGTTGGATGTGTGGATGGCATCATGTACTGCCTATCTCATGCTGGCATCCAGGTAGGCAAAGCGATAGATAAAGAGCCTGGCACTGATTTGTAGGAAAGCAGAAATAGAAGTTTGTAAATCTCATAATAGACCAGTTCACGGTTAGCACATGTCTGCAATGACCCCGAATATCCACAGATCTTCAAAACATGAAGAGGTCCCACTTTGTACATTTTGAAATAATCACTCCATACAGCGATGGAGGTGCTACATAATTGCTTCCCCTTTTCAAAGAATACTTCCACCTGTGTATCATGGAGTGCACTGCTTGTGCATGAATGAATAATAATAACATAACTTTCATGAGCACGTATCCAGTATTTTGTCTCCATATATTTCACAATTTGTTCTGCAATGACCTTTATCTGCTCATGCTCAGACTGCAACCGTGAACTGGCTTATTCACCCTACCACAAATACAATGTTGTCAACAGCAGATGGCGACCTTCCTCCCATGCTACGCAGGTCAGCACAAGTGCAGATACGATACTAGGGAAGACAAAAAGACAAGGTCTCTTTCCGGCTTCCATAGAGAATATACAGCAGTGTCAACTAATTCCTTATTTTACTAAACTATTGTTCAGGCTTCATGAATTCCCCCCCCCCCCCCCCCCATGACTTGATGAGATCTATGTAGGCACCATGATAATCTGTTGCTTACAAGTTTATTGGTTCAGAAACTATAATACTACCCATTGTATTTGTATGGGAACTGGGAGTGCCTTTGCCAAATATACCGATGGTTGGTGCTGCCCTCTATGGCCAAATAAAGTAGCGGTGGTAAGAATTGAGAGGATTAGTGGCGACAAGCTCATGTATTTCCACTGTTGTTGCTCGAGGACTTTATAAGAGGCATTAAAAAACAAGATTGAAGGGTATTGCAAGACTTTATTTGAAGAGTGTGTTGGATATTGTATGAGTGGACATCCATAGTGTCCACCTTCTTAGTGACAAAATTGGTCGCCAAACGAGGTGAAAAGATATAAATTGTAGAATGTCAACCCTCATCGCCAGTGTGATAAACAGCATGTGAAGATATTTGGACCATTATTTATGAATTATTACAAGGGGGATCATGAAAAATAGTTAGAAGCGTTCACTAATTTAAATCATTTTTAATTTTGTTGTTCTCCGACAGTTATGGACCCACACGGTCGATGGACCCATTTTCTCATCACCATGCATCTCAACCCTCCACCCACTCTCCCAGCCCCTCTCCAAAGATGAACAACCATCTCGTCACACGGTCATCTTTGGATCCCACAATGGCTCTGTAACCTGTCTTGACCCCTCGACCGGTCAGCTCGAGTGGACCTCCAAAGTCTCTACCTTCCCCATCTACTCCACCCCTTTCGGCTTCACCCGGGACGGTCATCGCAGAGTGGCCGTCGCATCGACGGATGGTCGTGTCTGCACTCTAGATATGCAGACAGGCAACGTACTAACTGAAATGGTGCTTCCGGGTGAAGTGTTTTCATCACCCGTCGTGATTGAGGGTAAACATGTCGTTGTAGGGTGCAGAAATGATTATGTCTATTGCCTTCATTTGAAGGAAACTGATTAGGAGACAGAAATACTGCCAACATATTTCTTCCATTTGGGGCATTATGAACTGGTAAGAATACATGATATCAGGGCTTGAATATGTGTGTGATATTTTATAATTATGCTAAAGTTTATAATAATGATAGGCATTTCTGTAGCGCCGTCTATCTAGAATTTCTATTCTTACCTCCGGCTTTAGCCTAGCTGCCATTACAGCACTCACATAATTAAGAATTCGTAAAATAAATTTGCTTTCATTGTCAGATTTTTATTCACAAACCTTGAGTTTCAGAAAAGATAAATTCTAGTCCATCACTTACAATTTCTATCAAGTCTGTTAGTCTCATACAATGTAGCTGATAGAGCCCTACAACTTACTTTTCTCCATTTGCCAAAAAAGTGTGGAGCTCCCGCACAGATGTTTTAACTGCAACAGATTTTGCTTCTGGCAAGTACATATTCTGTAGGAACTCCCACGTTCCTATGCAAGCAGCCTGGCACTGAACATCCAGCACGTTTATTAGTTTAAAACAAAAGTCTACTGCCTTGGTCATTGTCTTGAACTTCAATGCTTGTCTCACCACAATAACGAAGAATTAAAGGGGGTTGATCCTTGAACCTATCACCAGAATGTAAGGCTGCGACATCTTGTTTTTGTCAATGCTGTCATTATAGATAGAATGTCATATCTGTCCCCTCAGGTTTCATATCAATGAAAGAGTTGAGATTTTCCCCTGTAGAACACTTCCCCTTCCTTCCTCTTCCTCTCCCGGTCAACACAAGTGGTAGGAGGCTAAAAGTAAGGTTCTTAGTTTACACTAGGAACCCTAATACTGTGCAGTAGTAGTCCTAGGTACTTTATTCTCCTGCTCATCACCTATCTAACGGAATGGAAATCCTATGACATTGAGTAATGATAATAATGTGTTGTTCTTGTATAGCGCATATCACATTGTTACATAACGTCTCTATGAACACCTAAAATACACCACATCATCTCGTGATATTGGTGTTTTGTGTTCAGTGTTTCCTTTTCTTTCCTTCTTCAAAACGACCATCAACGCTTTGAAGATATTATTGCTCTCCAGAAATTCATTCTTATCAGATAAATCCCAGTTCTTTTCAGCTTTGAAATGTCGATGAAGGGTATATCTAATCGATGGCATGAAACGATCAATTTTCGTCTTATCTTCACTGTCTGGTTTCCTCAGCGAAGCATAAAATGTCATTAAATATTCATCCAGCGCTTTCTTTGTGTCAGTCACAACAGCGAGAGACGCTCCAGTAACTTCAAAAATTTCTCAAACTTATAACGGCCATATTTAATCGCCCTCTTTGTGTTTTTAATATCCACATTTGCATAATTAGAAACAATGGACGGATTACTATCACACTCAAGACATGTATGTATCTTGCAGAGCCAATGAACTGATTAGATTTTAGGGTCATTAAGGTCATAGGTCAACGGACATCGGGCTTATTATGTATGAAAAATATCTTGTAATCATGATATTCTGAGAACCTGTTAATGGATTAAAATCAAATTTCAATTTTAAAATTGCTTCTGTTATGGTTTGTAAAATTGTTCTATGGCGGAGGCATACCTGCCAACCTGAGACAAGAGAAATTAGGAGTAAATTTTTCTGGATGGACTACGAGGTCGCGAACCACCGAAGGATTGGGGTAGTAGCCCGTAGATTGGGGGGGGGGGGGGGGGTACACAGGACTTTAGGGTCTATTTTTTTTCTCTCCATTTTAATGGTGCAAATGGGCCTTTTCCTTCAACATTTTTGCCCCACACATAAACAATTTTTGAAATATCAAAATGTGAACACTCACAAAACTACATGTTTCACTACCCACCTCAGTTAGGAGCCCTATTTTGCAAAGGTAGAAAGATTCAGAATTACTGGCTACTGAAGAAGAAGAAGAAAAGAAGGTTGAAATTGGACGAGCCTTGTCCTTAATTTCGCTGAAAGCTTTATGTTTCTTCGAGTTCATGTGTTTCTGAATGTCATTCATTCCCCCATGGTTGATACTGAAGTCGGCCGAACACACGATGCAAAATGCGTGTTGAAGTCCGAGTGCTGATTCTGCAACTGGAAATTGTTTCCCGTATTCTTTCTTATACTTCTGATTATGAACAGCACGAGTCTTACCCATTTTGTCCTTCAAAAATGGAGAAATCAACGAAGAAGAAGAATATAGTAGTAGTAATCCAAAATAAATCCGAGGTAGTCCGGTAAATAACAAGCTTCCACGATCGCAGTCATCGCACAAGCATTGAAGAAAACATGCCAATGTATACAGTGTTTATGCACGGTGTATCAACTGCACATGTAATATAAATACACGTGGGCTATACGCATGCAGTTACTATGCAACAACGCTGCATGTAGTGTATGTATTAGTACAACGTCCGCACACACTTTATCGATATAGCTTGCGCACGTGCTTCCATGTACTAGTACATGCAGTACATGGATAATGACTGCGGAACTAACGATCACGTTCGGGCTGCGCTGTGTATATCTTCTATGAGCGCGAGCGCGGATGTCGGCGTGATCTGGTTATCAGTGCTGTGTAATGCTTTAGTCTTATGCAACAGTCGTTTGTTTTAAAAATATTTTAAAATTAAAAAAAATCAGAGTTTTGAGGCATGCACTCGGAAATCGGAGTTGGTATGAAAAATGCGGAGGAACTCCGCCTAAATCGGGGTGGTTGGCAGGTATGCGGAGGGATCATTTTTGACTGCATAGCAGTCGTAGGTCCATCTAGTTTTTTTATAATGCCAGCACAAGTCTACTTTTTCTATAGTCTGGGAGCCTTTAAGATTTGACCACTTTAAGTTAATTAGACGATCTATTTCACTGAAAAAGATTTTCAGTCTGACCATACATGCAGCAGACAGGTTTAGCTCGAAATGGTCTTTGATGTAATGTGCTTCCTCACAAGGAAAGTTTCTGTTCTGCTAGATACTCCATTGTTTGGTCTAATTCCCCTTGGAACTTTTCAATTGCATTTCTGCTGTAGTGTGACACAAAGTAAATACTACAAATGACAATTAGAGCTAATATTAATTGATATACTGGGTTAATCCTACCTACCATGAGATCTGTGTCACAGAAAAACGACAATCATACCTGCTAGTTTTGCATGTAAGTCTCGGCTTAAAAAGAGTTTATTTACCTTTTTTTATGGTGTATATGAATTTCAAATATCAGAAGGAGATCTCTCTTCCGTCAGGGTAACATAGTAATGAAATAATTCTCAATTTCTCATGTGACAATTAGCCCCCGATTTTCAAAAACAATTTACTCAAATACATTTTCTTCACAAACCAGAGAATTATTGGCAATTACAATAACTCAAATTCCATATACCTGACTGAAATAAACTTCAATGTCATCGCCATCTGTCTAGGTGAATTACATTCATGGCAATTGTCACCTGTACAACCTACTACAAATATAATCCTTCTTGACCTTGACCCTAATCAGTCATAGAGGTATATCAATAAACATTTTTCTTAACCATTTAACTTTATCTTTGGTAATATTCATAACAAAATGACTTTTCTAGTAATCACATCAATGTAAAACATATCTATATTAGATATGGCAGCGAGGCAGATAAATAAACAATCATGACATCTTTCCCTTTGTTTACTACACATACATAAACATGACATCGTGTGTCATATATGTAATTTCCTATTGTAGGTTACAAGATGCTTTGCATTCCTATGCAAATGAAGGTTAGGGTGTGTATGCATGTACATTACATGTACATACAGAGTGAATGGTTTAGCCATTGACCATTTTCGCTCTCGTAATTTTGCACCTCGCTCATAGGGTTTACTTATAGTATTTAGTTCCCTAATACTTGCTTTTTAGGGAGAGGAATCGGTTGCTTCTTTTCACATTCTACTATGGCGGATGCAGCCCCAATACCTGACTTCTCGGGAGTTTCCGATTTGTCTTCTAATTCGGTTCCTCAACCATCACTTCACGCTATTTCGGCATAAGGGCTTTCAGCCATTGTGAAGGAAGCGGTAGGTGGAGTCAAGAATTACATTGACGAAGCTCTCGCTATATAGAAGGAGCAAACCGTGATATAAGTTTCTTGTGTTCGTAGCTGAAGTTTGGTGCTCCCCAAGGTAATTATAATGTGTCATATATAAATGTTTGCATAGTATAGCACAGGTCGTAAGATCAATAGGAAAAAAATTATTTCCGTTTGAGTTTGCGAATTAGGAAATAATGGGTGTTGGTAACATCTATTGCTCTTAAAGTCGTCATGAAAACTTTTACCATGATAAAGGAAGGTTCTTCTCAAAATTAATTCCTAGGTTCTGAATTTCGTTCTCACATTCCTAGATTAATACTTCAAAAACATTTCATTATGCAACAAATCACTGGGTATTACATATCTCATGAAAGTTTTTAAAACAAATTGTTCCAATTGTTACTGCACATAAATTATCATTAAAGTGACTTGGTAACATTGCTGAAGGTTGATGAAAAAATTGCCTAATTTTTGTATAGAATGTTACTCAATATATTCCTTCTACTGTACTAACCCTCTCTAAATGTTCCTTTTTTCTGTAATATACACAACTCATAACTTGGATTTTATGAACAAGTTTGTAATAAAATGCAAAGACAATACCTTCTTCATCCAAAAACATTGGGATCTTACAACACACTGAAAACGTAATTTAAAAAAAATTATCTATTATTACCATCAACAAACAAATATGTACTCATATATTGAATGGAAATAAAAACATGACTGCCTCTCGATACAAATAAATGTTAGTTGACATAACCAACTCCACCCCCTCTTTCCTATGTAAAAAAAAAAGAAGTTTCTTTGAATACTTTTATCCAGGCATTGGTACCAGCAGTTCATTATAGCAAGTGCAAGGTAATCTAAACATTGGAATTAAACTAGGAATGCATGCAGTTTTTTTTTTCTTCTTTAAGTTTTGATGTAGTTTCTGATTGTTTCCCTACAGGAAACTTCGCCTGGATATTCACCCATTTTGACCAGACCACTGAGCTGGTCACCTTTACTCAGGTGAAACTTCATGCAAGTAACAAACTTGGTAACACCACAGGACATATTGAATGTCCCAGTTGCTGCCAAGGAGACTGTCTAGCATTCCTATGTTTGAATTCCGGTAGCTGTAGGTCACAGACTTGTCAAGAAAGGGCACAAGTTGATCATCAACTCTTGGGATGATTGGACCTAACTCAAAAGACCTATGGGGCACTCGTCCTTTGATAGCTTTTTGAATGGTCGCTATTGAGTACTTTCTTTGGTTTCTAAAAAACCTATTCCTGTAGTTTGCATTCCGGAGGTGGGCAATGGTTGCCTTGTATGCTTCATCCCTCATTTTCTCACCTTCTTTTTTTATTCTTCCCTTCGGTTTCACCGACGAACATGCCATTTTGGTAAGAGGAAGGGTAACTGAAATGTCATCTTCAAGCTGTCCGTCTCTAATGGGAGAAGCAACTGCAGTCTCCTTGTAGATGTTCACCTCTCGTATCGGAAGCTCCATGTTCAGGACCTTTACCTACTAATTGGGAGAAACAAAAAATAACATTCCATTCAGTACAGAGCAGATTAGTTTATTTTTCAAAATTCCTGTCATAACCTCCCTTTTAAATCAAGTCTCAGGAGGAGGCCTGGAGTCTTGTCAGGACTTTTATAAACTGGGTCCCGACGGCCTTGCACCGATTGGGACCAGGTGTCCCTAAATCAGCTAGCAGGATATGTCACTTGCCTCTATAAATAGCTCATATCATCAGTATGTCCCTTAAAAGCGACCTTTTTAGTTTGGTCTGATCAACATACAAGTATGGCCAATGCATATTTCAATGCTTTGTCAAAGGTAAGATCAAACTCACTCAATAACCTCTTCTGAATTACACGGTTTTGAAGTCCACACACAAATCTGTCCCTTAACCCTACGTTAACTGGGGGGGGGGGGGTCAATTTGACCCCCCTCTGTAAAAATTTTGCGACTACTCCGAAACCGCGGCAGATGTAAAATTTTCCTCTCATGACTTTTTACTTTCGAGTCTTACGCATCTTTTAAAACAATTTTTTTGAAAATCGGACCTACGGTTACAAGGTCGCGTGACCTTTTGTCTTTGCATGTCAGTCCAAAAATCGCTCATTTTCGTGATTTGTGTACAAAACATATGTAAAAGTCATTTTTCCTAAAAATAGATAAAACATTGGTAATTCAGTCTTGTTTAAAGTTTAGATGTTGTTTTGAGGTCAAAATAGTTGAATTGTAGTTATAAATGAAATAAAACAACAAAAACAATAAAATACATAAGTTAAAAAAACAATGAAATACATAAGAAATTATAAAAACAAGAGATAACATAAGGAATAACCTGGCTCTTCCAATTTTTTGTGTTGTATTATTATTCCAAATGGTCTAATAAATATATGTAGTGAAA